GCAAAAGGGCAAAGGATGCTGCTCTTTCCCCCTTACCTACCTGCTCCAAGATACTATTTTATAACCTGTATTTATCGCACAACACACACACACACACACACACACACACACACACACACACACACAGATGTATAAATACAAATGCAGATAAAGGGCCAGCCAGGTAGCTCAGTGGACTAAGCTCCTGGTTAGGTAAGTGCAGAGAGCGGGTTCCCCACCACCACAAGCCATGCTGGCCCTACCCCCGGCTGTGCTGAGCTGGCCACTAAGAAAAAAGAACAACAAAACAAATTTGTATCAATAAATATGACTCAGAGCATCATTTCTATTAACAGCAGAGTATTCTCTGATAGAGAGGTACAAAAGTTACCAAGTGTGCTGTTTGGACATTGACGAATTCGTGCCATTCATTTACTCCTACACGTACTGCTGTATGAACTTTTGGGCGTGGGCCTTTGCAGGCACAACCCACTATCTTGGCACTTTTCTCATTGCTGAGATGAAAGTCCTGATACCCACAAATTAAGGGAGGAAAGGTTCATTTTGGCATATGGGGTGTAGAAGTTTCCGTTCATAGTTGGCTGGCTCCAAGGCGGGAGAGCGTACCAGCAGGGCATTCCGGAGGAGCCAGTGTCCATGCTCCATGGCAGGCTAGCAGGACGAAGCAGGCAGCGAGCTGCAGACCTGGGAGTGCACCGCCCTTTCCTTTCCTTTCCTTTCCACCCCATCCAGGCTCCAGGTCCTTTCAGTGGTTGCGCCTGCACCCAGGGTAGTCTTCTTGTTATTCACCCCCAGACCTCTGATAAACCAGTCAGTGTGCTAATCCAGTAGAGCACACGCTCAATCCAAGTATTGCACACCCTAGGGCTGGCCACCTCTGAAAAGCCCACCTAGGAGCACACGAGGCTTCAGGGAGACATCTGGTCAGCCGTAACAATAATTATATCCTCATAATCAATTCCTCGAGATGCCACTGCCAGGCAGAAAATGCGCACGTTTTAAAGCTTCCCCCACAATGAATTCGGCAGGGCATCAAGCTTTTACCAATTTATCCTCCCCAGACTCCTGTGCAACTCAATACCTACTGCTAAGGACCTCATATTCTCCTTTCACTTCAATGTCGGTAGACTTAATAAATGTGAAAAGGTGTCAAGACAATTATAAAATTTTTTTTTGCTAGCTAACTTTGTTAATTTTTTTAGAATGTGTAGGCAGATTCCTATAGTTTATTGGCTACTATCCACTAACAGGATCAGTAGAAATTATGAAATATCTGTAAACTGTGGCTGCAGGTGCAGTTCAGCACAGAGAAGGAGGAGGTACAGGGTTCCTTCTTACGATAGACTCTCCTCCGTACTACAGAATTAGTAGATTGTGAAGACAAGACATTGAAAAGAAAAGATGACAGAAAAGTAGGGAAGTGTTCAAATGACTCCTGACGACGGAGGTGCCCTGAGTCTGCACATGTGTGGATGTGAGTAGCGTACCGTATATACAACAGATCCTTCAGTGAGGGTTCTTAGCCACATTTTTATTTCACAAAATGGAACTAAAGAGACAGATGTTTGCTTAATGCCACACAACTGGGGGATGGACAGACCTTGTTCTTGCACCCAAATCCCTGAAATCAAAGCAAAAAGGTATATTTTGCACGTGATCAAAGGGCTAAATACTATGAAGAAGTGAGGCAGTTTGGGGGAAACAAACATTTCTTTGCTGTGTAGGAAAATAGAAGACAGCGGCTATGTCTGTCTGCGCTATGACCTCCTAGTTGTCTGGGGACCTGAATGAGGCGAACTCCTGCGCAACTTTGAAGGGTCTGCAGCATGCATCAGCCCTCCGGAGCAGGCCCTGCGCATCCAAGTAGGGGCGACGGAGAGCCTGCTTTCACTGGCATTCGGCTTTGGCTTCAGTTGCCTTGAGCTAGGACTAGCAGGGAGAAGAGAGGAGAGAAGGTGTCACAGTGAGACGGATGGTTCACCAGTGTGTCAGTCTCATTCAGCAAGTAACTGAACCGGGGTGATGTCGTTTTCTGAGTTCCCTCCAATATACTTTCCAAGAGTGACTGATGCAGGTCAGTGAATAGGCTGCAGCATCTCTGCTGAACTGGTATTATTATTAGAAATCTCTGAGGGAACTCTATTCCAAGTTGCTTGGCTCCACAGGAAAAGTGCTTTGCTATTCCTGGGCATCTTTGTGTTTCCTCTCACTGCCTGCTGCTTCCCACCCTGAAGCTTGTGCAGGACCTAAGGATCAGTGCTGCAGAGCAACTTCTGAAAAAGGGGCAGGGAATTGCCAGCTCCTGTGTCACAGGAGGAGGAGGCCCCGTGTCCTCAGGGAGAATGGCTGCTCTTGTTGAATC